ACCTTTATTCGCTAATACGATCTAATATTAAAATCTTACGAAGTGGTGGGTAAGCGTGAAACTCATATCGTCGCCCGTTCGCTTCGACCGTATACTACGCGTTCAGATGCCTTTCAGGGGAACTACTTCATTGCTCAAAGTACACAGAAATTTATTTCAAAAATTTTCAGATACAGACACACATTAGTACTACATGAACAAGTACACCCACTACTAAAAAGAAAAGGAACAGTCTCACCAGATGACGTCGTCAACTCCCCTCGGCTCGGCCCATGGTCACACAGATATCTCCTTCACCGGCGAGCCTCAATTACCGGTACCTTTTACGATCAAGACACGACGAGACGTCCTAACCCTTATATCTGCTTCCGTACGATCCAGATTGAACCGGATCAACTACGTCGTCGAAGTTAGTTGAGAAGTTGACATTATTTTCATCGACAAGTTTCTCATTATTTTTTACAAAGTTTAACATAGATGGATGATCACTACTCTCCTCATTTTAAAGCCCTTTCGATCCCACTTCTGATGTAGGAGGGCGTTATAAGAACAGGAGGGCCTTCATGGGAACTCATACTTTGAAAGGGATAAAGTACAGTCTATTCAATACGACACCAACTCAATCGAAACACTAGATATCACTATCACTTCGATACACAGCGATTCGTCACGAGCGCGGTGCGCGGGCGTCATCTCGCACGATACTCCATAATAAAGATGGCCGCCCTCGCTACCATCACAATGACGCTTCACTAGGCTAACCTCAGACAGCTAAAAGTCAACCTGACGTATGATTTTTGACGGATGCGCCGTCAAATATATTATCCAAATAAGACAAGTTTATTTGTTATTGGCAGGTCCTGTTTATAAATATAAGCTGACATTAGAAGAATAAAAACATTAAAGTCTGAAACAGACAATAAGAATAAGAGTTGTGTGGGTTTTATCTCACACAAATATTAATCTTGAAACTTTATATTCGAAAAAATTACTTCATAACACCTTCAAGAATTAGTGGAAATAAATAAACTTGTAATAATATTTAATTAATTCATTTAAAATACTGTCATAATGTGTATTATGAGCAAAATAATTTATCAATACCCTAAAGTTCTTAAATGGATATAACATGTAAATGCTAAGTTGTAACAGGCTCGGTAACATAATCTAGCTTTATACGGAGAGGCATATACTTAAACCAACAAAGACTGGAACACATAGGTAAAATGTAAGCCGGTGCCAAACCTTCAAAGCGAGTATATTAATCTAATACGTGCGGATGAGTTATTAGACTTCAAGTGAGACAGACAACGGTTCAAATTGTAAAATATAAGCTCCAGTGAAATGGCTTTTCACGTCTACAGTTATTATAACATTTTCACACAATTTTTGTTTTATTATTAAGACGCAGATCGTCTATCTAATGGTAATTTCTAGAATGAGACACCATGACTGTAGTTCCAAATATACAAACGATTTACATTATGTGGAAAGAAGGAAAGTAGTTTAACAATATCGATTAATTGAAAGGAGTACCTACAAGAATCAGAGAACAAAACTCAGCAGGAACAGCTACTTGTGTTGTCATAATTTATGTACACTTATATTGCAACATCATAAACAATAAGAAAATATATGGTGCCTAATGACAACATTGTTCTGAATAAAAAATTAAAATGTGTGATATAAAAAAGCATATTTTCCAATATGTCTGAATTTTACAACCACTTATCAAGTGTTAAGCAAATATGTTGATAATATTTTTTTGATAAAAATTTTATTCCATAGTGGCACTTGTGGGCGCGAAAGTACTTGTGCCCACTCATGTATTACTCGAATTACGTTAAATCAAGTATTATCGTGTGCGTGTAATACTCTCATCAATTAAATTAAGTTTTTAACGTTCGAAATGTTTAAAATATTAAAGCTACAGGCATGTTTTTGACTATAAAAAGAAGATAAATGAAAGGGGTTATTATTCTTCGCAATCTTAATGGTAAGATTTTAGAAGCACCTTTTGAAGTCTCGATAAAAGTTATTTTATTTGTTGATATAAAAATAAAATTTACCAAACATTTTGTAAAATATCTTTAGTTAACAAATTTGGTTTTATTCAAAGCCTGACCTGCAAATGCAGCCAAAAACATAAAAATAATAACATAACATAACATAACATAACTTGTAAATAAACTTTATAACAGTATTAAAATAATAAATAACTTGTTTCTTTTTAATTAGAATGTAAGATTCTGGGACCTAAAAACTTAATAAAATTTAATTTAAAAGAAAAATAAATCATTTATATAAGTATGATTAAAAAATTATTGGAACAACATTTGTTTTTAATTTCAAATCTCGAGAAATATTTTTGTTACTCGTAATAAGAGTAAAAAAGATTAACTGCAAGAGCTATATTAAACAACACAGTATAAAGACAGAGAGGGATTATATACATATATAAAAATATTCCAAGGGTTTTCCTCGTAAGGATTCAAAATCATTGACCTTTTACTAATTGCTTCATGTTACATAACTCGAGGTTGGGTTAAGATGGTCCTCATATGATTAATTGGCCGTTAACAAAATAATAATATGTAAGCTATGCCAGAGTGTTGAAGTCGCTGTAATCTCGATTATTTATTACCGTTTCTAATTAAAGATCGTTATATGGAGTTTGCGTCTTCAGAAAGGAAAACCTTACAGCTTTAAGATATGATCTTTTATGAAAAAAACTTTTGATGAAATTACTTCTATTTATAATCCTCAAAATCATTCCAAAAAAGTTGTAAGTTAATCGATCATGAAAGTCTTTAATAAAAAATTATTTGTCATTTAAGTAAAAAAATATTTGTATTATAGAAATTAATTTTAAATTTTCTCTTTTTTTTCATTTATTTCTAGTAAAAAGTGCCGAGATGATGAGTAACAGTCCTCTCATTACTCTATGAAGAAGTCATGGCAGTTATAAATTACAGAAAAAGTCCAGATGCGGCCTTAATTAGATATGATGTAAGACACTCCACCTTTAAAAAGTTGCAAATATTTCCGGCTCTTACAAAAACGTTGTCCTTAAGCTTATCAAAGCCAATTGAAATAATTATCTATTGCAAATAAAGTTCTACAAATCGTACAAAAATAATATCAAAAATTATTTCAAGATTTATAAATAGTGTGATTCTTTAAAATTTCTTCTCGTTTAATATTATTCTTACAAAATTGTGACAATCTCAAGAGAAAAAATGCAAGCCAACAGGCAATTAGTCTAGCGTAGAGCATTTATTAATTAATTCTTTCCCGCTTGCTTGTGAAAGGAAAAAGTGTTGGGAAATTAGTTTTTAAATTGAAAAATTATCGACTTATCTTTGTGTCTAGATGAATAAAATTATTATAGATTCTTTATGAAATATAATTATAGTGTAAAAAATCTGTGAAATAAACGTAATTAGCGTTGAAAATAAACAATTTTATAAGTCTCATGCTATTGAACATGTAACAAATCTCAGGGATAAAGCTCTCTAATTATACCGTTCCGCTACACTTGGTATTTGTGTAAGAGATACCGTCAGATATAATAATTTATGTATTTATATACTTTAATTTATAAAATTTTCAGGATTAATATCAAGAATTATTTATTCCCAAACCTTTCGTTGACTAATTATCATTTTGTGAGTTGAATATTATAATTTTCCATTTAATAATTCATCTGGCTCTTTGCCAAAATAGTCAGTAAGGAATAAAATTTAATTATTTATTCCTATTAAGGATGAAGTTTTCTAAACTTACAAGATGTAATTGTTCTTTCAATGAAAAAGCAATAAAAGAAGTAACAAAACATGAACTTGCTCTAAAACTGAGAATATTTTGGGGTGCTATCTTTTTATACTAGATAGCACGACTATTTCGAAATATATTTTAAAATGTATGCGACCTAATATAAACAAAATGAAAATATTTTTTTTGTGTCTTTTCGATATCAAAATGTTCTTATTATTAATATAATAAAGATTTATCAAGTTTTCTTAATCAATATTACGTACATACATACAGCTGTGAGGTATTTTCTATTAGTTTTTTTTTAATAAGAATATTGGAATTATTAGACGCGAGTCGATGTCCAAAAACCCATACTTAATAAAGCATTAATGGTACAGGATAAAGTCATTAAATCTTTTGTTATAATAATAACTGAAAACATATGTTAATGATGGCATTCGTAAAATAGAGCCTAAATAAAAAAGAAACAATAAGCTGACGTCATCCACCTTAAACCAGTCTTTATAGAAGTTAACTTAAAATCAATTACAATCAGAAAAACTCCGCTTTAATGTTTCTTATTTCCTTTCGTCTGTTTCTGTAATCGCTTTATGTAAATTGCTTCCTCAATCGCTCGCTTAATATAAAGAAAGTAAAACTGGAGTGTTCGTTTCTTTTTTCGACAATTTGGTCCCTTATAAGGGTCCAATTAAGTAATTTGTTACCAACCATATATGTATAACGATTAATAAATAATTTATTTCATAAAATAAATATCATTAATAAATGAAGCCTTAGATAATATGAAAATTTTACGTTTGAACAAATTTTCAAAAGGTGGTATGGTCTACTTACATCGCTGCGAGTCCTAAAATATGCACAAGGATTAAATATTCCCCTGCACGGAATTCTGAGCGCCAATTACAACCTCCCCGGGGTTGTTTCACTCCACCTGCCTTAATTCTGTCTTTTTTCGTACAGGAAATGGAAGATGAATTGCTGAATAATCCTCCAATGACTGTTTCATGGACCGTTGCGAAGTTAATTTTTACTCTTTGAATGAAGGGGAAATCCCTGTTTACGGCTTACTTCATTTTTATAAGGAATTTTTTTAAGAATATTCTCATCTCGCAATGTACGATATAATGCCAGCGTTATTTTTGTTATTAAGACATAAATATATGTAGATATATCTAATTTTCTAGTCTAAAATATAATGTAATATACTCTTTATACTTTTACAGACAAGTATTGGATAACGGCACATTGGTTTTCCAACCATTTGCAGCAGTTCAATACAGGCAAGACCTGCACAGCACCGTTTACAGGTGTCGAGCTCACAACACGCACGGAGCCATCGTCTCCAGAGATATGAGAACACAAGCAGGTCAGTAAATATCCAAAAATGTTTAAGATATCTATTACATTTTAATGTGCACATATAAATATATATAAATTAGGATTTGGAAATATTATCACATAACATGTTACATTGTTCACTGCTATTTGTAGTTATCTCCAGTTAGATTAAAATCATCAAATGTCAAGGATGCACGTCTGCTATTCAAACGCTTTGAAAGTAATTGAAAGCCTCTGGGAGAGTTTTGCGATAGGGACAGGTAAGTTAATTTGACTAACAGAGAGCGCTGAGAACTCATGCCGATAAATTATAGTTCAATTGGTAGCCAAGTCCTAATGGTATGCCTGCGTTCTGTCGCCCGTGTGCATGCAGCAAAGACGTGGAGTGAATCCATGATTAAGATGAAATTGTTCTTGTTGGTTGCTTAAATTAATACAAATAACAAAGTAACTTTTTGTATTTGTAATGTTTAAGATGATAAAAATCAGATGAAACGTATATCATATACTCTCAAATTTTAGACTGATATTCATAAATATGTTGAATAAATAGTCTTTAAGATAAAAGGTAAACATTTTGTATCGCATGAGAGCCAACATTCCTTTCATATGTACATATATTTTTTCATTTAAAAAGAAAATGCACTGTGAAGTCCAGTCATTTTTTACCTTTTAACTAACTATTCGCTTCGTTAGTTGAGTTACTGGAATGCGTCGCTTTAACAAGCATCGTCTACTTGATACAGAGTGTAATGGCTTCGATATATGATCACTCCTTACATGATATCCTGTACCTTACTACGTTCCCTTAGAGTTTATATTTGATTGAACGTTTGTTTTTATAAACGTATGTCAACATTCGTAACTTAATTCAAGGGATCTTGAATCGCTTTTTGAAATAAATATTATGATGCCATTAAAGGAAGAACGATTGAGCGCATTACGTCAAGAGCACTGTCAGTTCTTTCTTTTACATAATTTTAATACAGATTTTTAATGATTTTAATGTTCATCATTCAAAAAAGTGTCAAAAAACTTTGTTCAATATATTTTCACTAATTTACATGTAACATAATAGTAGATGAGAGTTTATAAAACGTAATTTTAAGCAATAACTGGTTATGGGGAAGATAAATATGCTAATATAATGATAGTCGTTATCAGTAGAGCTTCATTTGAATTTCTAAACCAGTTTGTATAGGATTAACGATGTTATAAAAATACTCTACTCTCCAAAGTGCAAGTTGCGAATGACGATCAGATGTTGTGAAAACAATGATATCATGTCAAAGAACATTAAACTCAACTTACTTCTCGGAAAATCTATTTAAACTTCTTTGAGAAAAATAACCACGGTTTATACTAGACAAATTTGTTGCTTTGATAAAATCGTGTCTATATACACATATATAAATATTGCATAAACATTTCAAAGCGATTTTAAAATGAATGTTTGATGTTCAAAAGTATATAGTGGCTTATTTGTACATCTATTTGTATATCACTTAATTGAGAGTAATAGTTAATTTAAATTAGTAAAGACATAATTAACCGCTGCTCAGATTTGTTTAAGATCGTATCGTAGCTTGTAAATCACTGCAACAGCAGTGTTGTGACGTCAGCGACCTTTAGCGTTGAGGGAATTCGATTTATTAACTAATATTGTACGGTAGTTGCCTTTGTCAATCCAGCCTTTGTTCAAACCGCGCTGGACGTACAACATAAATTTCAAAGGCAGAAATTATATTCATCACTTTAAAACTTTCAGGATTTCACGTTCGGAATAAAAAAAAATGTAAAATTTTTGTCAATTTGAACAAAAGTATGTCACGTCGATATGTGATATACATATATTATTTTTATATTTGTGCCTGAAACCTTGTATAGAGTTTACTTGTTGTCCGTTTCTATTGTGCTCTTGAATATCAACAATTTTATTAAGTATAGGGTTATTTTATTTTACCAAGTAATAAACATCAAAGTCAAAAAATTTTTATTGTTATAAACAATATTAAAAAATATCTTCTAGGTCTAGGTCCACTGCTGGACATAGGCCTCTATCTAGCACAAAGAAAATTTTAACAACGACGCTCATCGGAATTAATTTTTATAGTGTTTTTCTTATTAAAACCTAAATGGAAATGTATTACATTACTGATATAATCTATTCAACCTTTACAAATTAAAAGCCAATATCTTATTGTATTTACCTAATATCTATCAATCTAAACTGGGATAAATCTAATATATCTTCATCAAATATGGTCTCATACCAACAATATTCATATTCATGACCTACATATATTCCTACTAAATATTTTATTTATTATTAATAATATGTTTTGCTTGGTTTAAATATTGTACTGGTATAGTTTCTAGAAAACAATAATTATTTTGATCTAATTTTATTGTATTTCGATAAGTTTATCATTTCTTGTTTGTTTTTCATAAAAATTGACTTCAAAATTGAGCCTTGAAGCACGTTCTTCATTTTCAAATCACGTATTGATGTTGAGATTATTGCAACTATGTTATCCATTACAGATTATGTATGACTCGGCAGGATCATTGGATCTAGGAGAGACGTAGTGGAAATCGTTTACATTTTACAGTATAGCGACTGGATCGAAGCTGTTGTGCATGAAATTTATCGGTCACGGGAGCGTTGTTTGCGTAGCTTTGTTAAGCCATGACGCTCCAGGGAATATAGAAACTATAGACGCTTTATTAGCTATAAACTAACAATGTACTTAACTTGTATTAAATATATACATACATTAAACTAATATTCACAATTAAGACAGTTATTAAGATTTCTGAGACGTATTTTCTAGTTACAGTCAACGCTAAACAGAATTTAATAAATTTTGTTAATAAGATTGAGGTAATTGTAAGCATCTCTGAATTTAATAATAAACTCTATTATATTCTAAGCGCTTTTTTTGAATTAGCGTATATTTCCTGTTTCACATTTGTTTTTAAACTACGGCAGCGTTTTTCAGCATAAAACAAGTTTCATTTATAACAAAATATATTTGCCTAATAGAAATTAGTATATTTTAATCCATTGGATTAGAGATGCAAATGTAATGGTGTTGATAAACAGATAATGAACGAAGTTAAGGTATAAATGAAAGATTTATAAACTATATACTTACACTCATAATAAACAACATATACTATTGCCTAGCATTCTTTATGATGAACACATATTCTTACTAATCAGGGTCAGCACAAAAAAAAAAACACTGGCGGTTCACGGTTGTTAGGTATCTTCTTAGCAGTATTAATTAGATTTGACAAAAAATATCCTGGAATTAAATTGAATGCCGTTCTTGTGCTGTAGTAGTTCAGGAAATACCATCCAAAATCCAAAAACAAATCTCTTCATGCTATAGTATGGAGATTCATGTTTGGATTTAAAACATAGCCATACATCAATATCTTTCGTTTTAAATTTACAATCCCTGTCAATATTCTATCCCCATCCTCCGTCATAAAAATTTACTTCGTTGCTGAAGATGTAAGAAAATTTATCAAATAAAATTAAAACATTAGAGTGTTTTAATTTTATTTGATCAAATTTTCTCTTTTAAAATCCCTTACATTATTTTATTAACATAACTTTTTAACTTGTATAGTGTGATGGTCTGTATGACTTTCGATTAGTTATCTCGAAACCCGTTAGTTATTAAGGTGACGATAGAAAAGGACACAATTTTATTTTGTATCGCTTTTTTTTGTCACTTTATAAAGTTATGATATATTTTTTTGTCTCAATCAAAAGGAATAAGATTGAGATTTGATCACAAAAATAAAGAAAATTTTAATTTGACACTTCTTGTCTATTGGATTATCAGTAAATAGTTTATTTGTGTTAGCATGAAAAGGATTTGATATTTCCAATTTTAAAAAAACAGCGATGCTGGAGCTTCAAGTAATTATAGACCTTTTTCCAATCTACTCCAATTCTGATAGACTTCAATGGAACTTTTTTTATATTTTAGTTTCATTTCAAGCAAAATTATATTTAATCACTAACAAGTTTTCTAGGAAACAAAATTTGCAAAATGAATTCAACATTTTTAAAATTCTGTTTTAAATCCTATAAATGTATGTATGAAAAGGCCTTTATTTCTTGCAGTCACTTCTCCCCAAAGTCGCATTTCGAGTTTTAAATAGAATTCAGAGGTTTAAAAGTACCGATTTTTTATATATTTTTATTATGAAATTTCCGATACGAAGTCGATATCTTTATTCCATTTTTAATATCAATGATTGCGTCGGTGACGTTCAAAAAGATAAAGCCGTCAAATATAAAATATTACAGTAACCGTTGGGTTATTCAAAAATATCTCGTGAATAATATCTTACAGTGAGTGATGTGCTCGCGGGACTCGCTGTCACTTCATCACTCAGATGCTCTAAATAATGAACGTCTATAATACGACACTGTTTTATAATAATGATAAAAATGTATACAGTTCAAGGCGAAAAATGTCTTTCATCATCAGTTTACCTTAAAATATGTACGTCTATTTTATGAGTCTTTTACATTTATTAACTAATCCTGTATCCACTATACAGTCTTAAATTTTTTACATTTTTTTCCATACATTTGAGTCAATTACGACTGTTTTCAAGGAACCTTAATTCACAACGGATATTTGCGGCCAATATAAACGATGTTTCATCAATTCTGTTAAATGAATGTCATTGACTTAACAACTTGCGTGTTTAATTAGTTGATATTATTACAACTCATCACTGTGGTATTAATTGACAAGGGACCCTTTGTTATAATGAAGCAAATACTTGTGAGAATTATACACAGATAGGAATTTTATTTTTGTTGAAAAAATATCATACTACTTATTGCTTTTAAATAAAATTTCGATATTCATAACTCGTCTATTCAAAATTTCGGAAACAATGTTGACAGTGGCCGCAAGTTTTTTATATAACTTAACATTATTTACAAAATGCTGTGTCCTTTAATTTAAGGTTTAAATTTTATGTATAGCGATT